TAAAAATAAAATAAATATATTAATATTTTATTAAAAGATAACACAAATATATCTTAAATTAACATAAATGAATGAATGTAACATAAAAACAAAATTAATAGGGGGTTACTTACCAAATAAAAATATATATTCTACTTTAATCTAAAAACTATTGAAATAAAAGTGTCTAATCACTAAAAATTAACAACAACAATATGTTTTCCTTAAAATAGCACATTATAAACTAAATACTTTTTATGGGTTGTTTGTTTACAAACTCAAAAATGTAAACAATAACAAGCCATAACATTTAGTTTAAATGTTAAGTACAGACGGCGCTGCGATCTTAATTTTAGATCCGAATACAAATAAACTTTTAAATCATCAAAAATTGATTCATATTTTTAATGATTTTTACCTTCTAATCGTGGATAGATGTTTTTGTGCGATGTTAAGAGGAAGAAAATGTTTTCCTTTAACGATATATCAAGATAGATTTGAATGTGTTATTTTCTGAAAAATTAGCGATGTCATGCCTTATGTGATTTTTTTTAATATAATAGTATATTATTAAACGAGCAATTTATGGTAGCCATTATTCACGCAGGGTGACGTTTGCGTCTCGAGCCGTAGGCGAGGGGCGCAAGTCACTCGAGTGAATAATGGCCATAAATTGCGAATCTAATACTATACTTTGTCCACGACCATTATGGTTTCTTTATTAAATAAAAGTTAAAAGTAAAATGGAAAGTTTTTATTAAACATAGGTAACTAACTGTTGTTTTTTTAACTTTTCTATTTTTTTAGATTTTCCAATTTTTCTAATTTCTGATTTTTTGATTTTTTTATTTTTAGATTTTTCGCCTTTTCGATTTTTTGATTTTTCTACTTTTCAATTTTCCGATTTTCCAATTTTTCGAATTTCTGACTTTTAGATTTTTTGATTTTTTGGTTTTTCGACTCTTCAATTTTACGATTTTCCAATTTTTCGAATTTCTGATTTTTCGATCTAGAAAATATCGTTATGAAAAGTATCGCCCATCTTTAGTTATCTACCGGAAATTGCCAGAATTACAGAAGCGTGAATTATCATAATTCACTCTAGTGATATATGGGTACCATATGCTTTTAGTTAGCAGGTTTTTTTTAACCACTTTGCTCAGGATTGGGATTTTACATGCTTTTGGGGTATATTTCATTCCGTTATCAGATGAGGGAAAAATTTTCAGTGGGCTCTTGATTCTGTATGCGCCAGGGATACAAATCCGAGTTGCGCAATATATAAACTGGAACATTGAGATCAAAAGTGCCGACGCAGAGTGAGTGAACTGATTCTTTAGCTATAAACTTGTGAAATTACATTCAAAAACACAATAAATCATTATATAGCAAGACCTCTAATTAAGTTTTTTGTCTTTGAAATTGCTTATAAACATTACTCTTTCAGAATAAAAAAAAAAGCATATTTAGCACGAATGATACTAATGTACTGAATCATTCGTACTAAAAATTATATCTGGAATTTTGTGCTAATATTGGTTTTTGATATTTTGATAGAGTAATGTTTTTCTCCTGGTCACCCTAGTGTGGACTATTTGGCTTTATATTATAGGTACTGATATTTAATTGCGAGAGAAGAAAAATTATTTTTGAACGAAACTGTACCATCGAGTATATTTTTTACAGTGAGGAATTAGGTATTAAACATTGATTTTGATATCGGCCCTTGAATATCCGGACAACAAATTTATGATAATAAGGTAAGTTCCGGGATACCAAATTAGAGAAACCTTTTCTTATCAATAACTCATATTTTTCACGATAACGTCGATACAAATTAATTAATAATTAGTACGTTGTGATGTGTTAGAAAAAGTACTCCTAAAGAATTAGGCTAATGGGTTTAAAATGTGTTGGAAATCGGGTAAATAATTTAAATGCCTCATCAGTTGAGCACACCGGTAAAATATTTTACTCTATAATTTATTTGTAGATCGATAATTTCTAAAAAATAATTCAGAGAGTTCCTCGGGGATCTTTACTTGGACCACTTGGACTTACGACTTTTATATCTCTTTTAAAACTGTAATATTTTAAAATATATTACCCTTGCCTGAATAAAGCAACACAATACAAACTGCATTGTGTACGAAATAAGTGTTACCGTTTTATTCGGTAAACAATATCAAATGTTAAATTTCATACATCTAATAACGACAAAACGTGCGCAGTATGTCGTCAAAAAGGCACTAGTTGTCTTTCGTTTTTGTTAGTCTGATTCGTACGGGGTAAACGATATTCAATGCGAAGAGTCATATAGATTTCATAAATAACTAAAAAAATATGCTCACTAGCATTGTAAGGAGGACATTAACGTCTAACTTCGTTAATATTGGTCGAATATTGACTAAATTTGAAAGGGTAATGTCAAGCGACTTGTTAATAATGTGCCCTTTTCGCATTATTTGAATTCATAACACCAATTCTCGTGGGTATTGAAAGTGTAATGTCATATAACCTATAGTTTATTTGAAAATGCATGATAGCATAGTTTTTATGGCAAATGTCTATATTTTTATATAATTTTGCTATCATTCATTTTCAAATAATCATAACCTGACCATGAATCTGTAATTCACTGACAAAAAATCAATGATAAGCTAGAAGGACGAGTGATACGTCAAATAAAACAGTAGAACGTAAGGATCACGTATCTGATGCTAGATTTTACAACAGAATTACCAGATTAGAGGAAGCTAGCTTTCCCAAAACGTCTAGACATTCTTAATGGAACGTGAGAAAAGCTACAGGTGTTCCTACAAAATACAGATATGTCTAATATCAGAAACACATTCAACAAAACAAAACTATCGGGGTTATGATGAACAAATAATATTATTTTTAACAGACACGTTATTTTGAAACAGGTTGTTATTTCTGTGTGTTTATAAAATAACAGACCTGTTAAGAATAAAACAGGTTGTCAGTCATATTTATGCAATTTAAAGGCTAAAAAGCTTATAGTACTATATATCCGTCGGATAACGCTAGAGGTGGAAATGCCGTAATAATAAAAGAAAATATTAACCATTGTGACGAGAACAAAATAGGAACAGAAGAAATGAAGGTAACAATAGTTAACATAAAAACGAATAAATACAGTTTCGCAGTAGGAGCAGTATATGTCCTACCACGACATAATTTTAAAAAAGAAAAGTACAGAGAACTCTTACGACAAATGGGAGAACATTTTATCTTGAGAGGCATTTTAATACCAAAAATATGATCTGGTACTCGACATTAACAACTACCAAAGGTAGGGAATTGCATGCAGCTGCACGTGGAATTGGGTGTCACTAGAAATCAACAGGAAAATCAACCGACAGAAATAAAATGTCGGACTTACTGGACTTCTACAACACCAGAAAAATACCTGGAAACTTTATTCAAATAGAAGAAAACTTTGACAGACTCGAATCATTCCCCGGTGAGAAGTTGAATTAAGTAATAAAATTGAACTAAGTGCACTACTACAAACAAAAGAACAACATAGAGTATGAACTGGAATTTGTCATTGACCTAGAGCAAGATACATGGAACAATACACCAGAAATTAGAAGAAAAAACTCTAGAGAAATAAAAGAACTAATAAATAAGAAGATAAGCCAAGAAAAAAATGGCAAAACACCAGATTCCCGATGATAAAGTAGTTCTCAACAAACTAATACAACAACTAAAAAAAAAAATCATTATTAAAAATGAATCAATAGACACATATCTCAAAAAATGAACGAACGACAAATAATACTGATTAATATCTGCGGGAAGCGGCTAGGAAACTTAAACGTCTATTAGTACACACATCACCAATAAAAGAAGACAACGGAAACTAGGCAATATCAAACAAAAAGCTGACATCTTTGCAGGTCATCTCGAAAAAAAAAAATCGATTTATTAAAACAAGAGAACAGAAACAGTTGAAATTCCTAGGGTAACGCATAAAGAGGAAATCAAAGAAAATATAAATTCTAAGAAAGCACCTGGATATGATCTGATCACAGGTTAAATACTAAAACAATTGCTAAGAAAACCTGTGGTTAAACTCACTAATATAATAAATGCTGCATTCCGACTAGAGCATGTACCTAGCATCTGGAAAGTCGGTGAAATTATAATGATACAAAAACTTGGAAACCACCAAATGAAGTAAAGTCCTATAGACATATATCCCTGTTACCAGTGCTGTCTAAACTTTTCGAGAAACTTTTACTAAAAAGATTGAAACCCATGATAGACAGTAAAAATATAATACCACCAATTTGGGTTTAGGAAGAAGCATTCCACTATTGATCAAGTTCACAGAATAACGAATGAAAATATGCACCTCACTCTTTTTAGATGTAGGTCAGATTTTCGATAAAGTATGTTTAGAGGGCCTTGAATATAAAATATATAAACTTTTACCAGTTTTACCTAAGCAATATTGTGATATCTTAAAATTTTACTTGATTGGTAGAATCTTCCAAGTAAAACAAGAAGAATATTCCACGCCTAAAGAAACTAAAGTAGGGCTATATCAAGGAAATGTTGAGGGGCCAGTTCTTTACCTGTTGTTTACCTGTTGTTTACCTCCGATATACCACAAACGCAAAATGTGAAAATTTTGATTTTAAACTTGTAACATCATGTATCTCGATAACTAGGCCCTTTAAGAGTCTTGTTCCTATATCAAAATTCATCAATTAACGATATTTTTCTGAACGTTATTTCTAGACAATATCGGTATTGAAAATAAATGGACGACCAGCAAATAATTTAAGAGTTTTTTTAAGTCAACAATTTTCTAAAATGATCGCAGTGATCTACTCTGATAATTTTGATCCAATATCTGTACAGTAACAGACACGAGCAAATAATAAAATACATTTCTTTATGATTTTTCATTTCACTTATATTTAGAACTCAAAATCCTAAATACTTGCGTGAAACATTCTTTTCTAAATTCCGCATTCTTATTTCAGACAATGATAAACATGGCGTTCTGTTGGTTCATACTACTGGGCCGTGCTGTCCAAAAGTTGGTGTTCGGCGATCTAAGAGTGTCCGAACAGCAACAGTTGCGCGACAAATTTTGGAATTTTGTCTTCTACAAGTTCATCTTCGTATTCGGCATCATCAACGTTCAATACATCGACGAGGTCCTCCTTTGGTGTTCCTGGTTCTCGTTATTGGGCTTTTTGCATCTTTTGTCGCAGCTCAGCAAGGACAGGTTCGAATATGTAAGTTGTATAAACTCTTTATCGAATAAAATTAGAAAGAAATTGTCTTTATTTAGATTTAAGTATCGAAATATCTCTTTTATTAGGCTACGGTTACATTGGGTGCGTACTCTGAGGTTCGGAAACCTATTATAAACTACAAATCCAGATTACTAGACTTATCCGACCACTGAACTTAGTGCCAGTGGGTTACAAATCATTTGGATTATTGTTACTTTTATCCACGTTTGTCAATTTTTTACTTTTCCCACGCAACAGTCAATATTATAAACCCTTATTTGTTTAAGATCCATTTTAATGTTTTTTACCTTTGTAGTCTGATTAATAATGTCGCAATATGGACACCTAATTAATATTTCATCCTCTTGGATAAACATTACAAGTTTCAAGTAATTAAATGTAGATAAAACTTTAAAACTACTTTTGTCAGGCACCAGACACCAAAAAAGTTGCATTATTCCTTTGTAATATCGTGCGGTGCACATGCGGATCTATTACTGATTTACTCGCAGAGAGGATCACAAAATATTGATCTCGATCACAAAACTGGATCAGTATTCTTCAGTAATCTAATAGTTTCCGAACACGGTTAGTAACCCTAGGTAAACGAACAACAGGTATCATGATCTTTCTAATCAGAGTAAGTTTCCGAAAACGCCTATTGAAGAGATAAAATTATGAAGACTAGAGAGAAGGTGGCGAATCGGCAATGGCAAATTTCAAATTTCCGTCCTTGTTTTTATAAAGTTTGCGAAATTGACTAGTTGGCAGGTCGAACGTCAGCTCAAGTATTTTTTTTTCTCATTGTTTTCATAGATGATAACATTATATTTGGTGCTCTAAACACGGAATTTAACATGCAAATGAATACATCACATAGATTTTAAATATTATGTCCATTTAATAAAAAACAATGTTATTAAAGTAACAACAATTACAAAAAAGTTAAAAAATAATACGGTTTAAGGTGAATACAGCACCTCTTATAAATTTCGGACAAGGTTATTTCTAAAAGTAATTATGTTAAAAAATTAAAATTTTGGCAAAATAAATTAAGCAATAATATCTAGAATATGCATATATTTTAAAGTTTTAATTCCTTCCATTTTCCGAGAAAAAATTAAAGGGCTTTAAATTTTGAAATATAATGAAAGTAAATACATTCCTCAACATCACTATTCTTAATATAATCCCGAAATTTAAACTCTTAATGTCTTGTTAATGATTTTTTAAAATTCGCCAAAATTAGTGACTAAAACGCCTCGTTAAGTGCTGCCTTCTGTTGTAACGCGACTGTAACTGTCGTATCGTACACTCTCAGTCACCACTCGTTTCCTGCAATGATTTACACCAAAAGGCGTTTTAGCCACTAATTTTGGCAAATTTTAAAAAATCAATAACAAGATAAGAGCTTACATTTATGGATTATATTAAGAATAGTGCTGTTGAAGAATGCAGTTATTTTCATTATGATATTTTACAATTTAAAGCCCTCTGATTTTTTTTCTCGGAAACTGGAAGGAATTAAAACTTCAAAATATATGCATATAACTACACATAAAATACTTAACAAAAATATATAGGACATGAACTTTGTGTAAAACTATTTGATATAGACAAAAGACAAGTATTCAACTAATTGCTGTAAAGTCACAGCGAATACTGCAAGCGCATATGTAGTACCACAAAAATCACTTTCGGTACTTTCCTTATTTCTCTTACGACTCGCTAAAACCTATTTTGTATAGATATACAGTGTTTATAATGTTTAGGTATACAAAGAATTCAAAAAAACCTAAATTTATGATATTTAAAAAAAAAAATGCATATCACAAAATCTAGACGTGATAGAAAAAATCGGCCAACGGGAACAAATTCAGAGCATTAAACTCTTCAGTCTTCATATTTATGATGTAATTTTTTTGGAGGATATCGTTGCAGACCTGTGAAATTGGTTAAAATAATCAAAATAATGTAAAGAAGAGTACCTGCGTACAAGTAAGTGACAAAAAGCATCAAAGCAAGATTTACTTCGTTCCAGATTGTAAAACAGGATACAAATCAGATGTAAAACTAAAGAAAACAAGGAGAAATAAATTCAATGTCTTTTTGAAGCTTCTAATGTAAGTAAAATAATGTATTTATGTCTAAATATAATATTTATTGTAAACTAGTCACAACCCGTATCTTACGGAGTGTAGTTTATTTTATTACAAGTTTCTATATTATAAAATTTTACAGTCATAGATCCTGACTTACAAACAACAATAATTACACATTAAATTTAACTTACAGAAAAGGAAATTTGTTTTTTATAGAATTTTATTGTTAGATGAACAGTTACTAATTGAACCCCAATTTTGTCATTGTAAATGTTTTTATAGGATCCAAAACGCTTACAACAGATATAAATATCATTCTTAGGGCCGATAAGGCACTTTCCAGAAATGAGCTATTCTACTCTTTTTAAAAGATATTTCAAAATATTATAAGACTCTTTTTACTGATGGTACTGTTAGCAAAATAAAAAGGGCAAAGCCGAAATTAAAGGATGAGGCAATACGATGTACGATATAACTGTGTTTTATTTTGCTCTTAAAACTATATTTAGGTTTAATTCAAAAAAAAAAAAAATGCCAAAAATTGTACTTACCAAATTTCAGCATTTAACAAACCTCGGAATTTGGTAATGCCTACCTAATTTGTATTTTATATAGATAAAATTAATTTATCAATTAAAACATGCAAGACTTATTTAGAAATAAATAATACAACAGGATGTTCTGTGCTTTATTTAGCAATAAATAAGTTTATATTTTATTATTTTCACAAAATTATGTAAAATTCCCATGAGAAGCGTTAGCAGCACCAGCGCCCTTGCGGTGAATTATAAAAGCTCAATTAGCGTTTGTTTTTTGGGACCGTATTTCGATTATGCCGATTCGTTTCCTTATCTCTAGTCTTCATAGATAAAATATATATTTATTTTTATGATACATTGTTTACTTCACCTAGGCGCCAAAATTTAAATACCAGGATAATCCCAAAAGTAAGCCCAACTAGCAAATTAAATGCCTTATAAAAGCTGTTTATTTCTTAGAGCAGTGGTGCCCAAACCTCGTTCAGGCAGTGGGCCCTTAAGTAGAATAAAAGAATCAAATACCCCATAATACGTGACAACTTCGGAAAAAACATTAGTGTACACAGAGGACCTTTTTTTATCTTCAATGAAAATCGGACCATGAAAAAAGAACCGGTAGGCCCTGGAGGTCCCAATCCGACACTGGTCTTGAGGTTTTACAAACTTTTGGTACAAGATGTTGATCTCACAGTTTTATATTTTTGGTTGGTAGATCTTCATAGAAAAAAGTATGGGCACCAATGTCTTAGAATGTCTAAGTACAACAAATTTATTTTGATAGAAGATCATCTGTATTAGGATTCTTGTGTAAATGTTCTCACAACTCAACAAGTTTCTATAACAGCTATATGACTTTTTAGAAAACTTCATATAAAATTGTTGTAAATTTTATACTTATCATCTAATCTACTAATTTCAGCACTTAAAAACCGTTTTAAATAAGTTTTATACAATAAATATAAATATATTTTAAAGTTAATCAATAAAGAAGTTATTTATTTTAAATAACTTGTATAAAGGAAGTGTAGTAGGATACATTTATCATACATACTACATTATAAAATCCTTATTCACATAACCTTTCTTTATTATAAACATTAGGTTAATAATTGTGCTTCAGTAATATAAATAGAAGTGCGTGGAAGAAAATGAATAATGGGTTGTTTTAAAAGTGTGTTTATAGGAATTCCCTTGGAATTCTTCAAAATGGCGATTCTCAAAATAATGTTTTACTAACACCTGAAAACTTATTTAATTATGACAATACGTTATATTACAAGTGAATGCCTATATTGAATAGTAACATTTTACCTTTTTAATTTTTTTGAAGAGTGTATTCATTTAAACATTAAAAATGATGTAAATATTATAGAAAAACGGATTTTTGTAATTTTAAAAAAATAGGAGACCTTTTAGAATTACACTCGTATAAAAATTTGATAAAATCTCATTCCATTTATTTTTGTTTATTGTGGAAATCTGATTTTTGTTTGAGAAACAGTTATGATCTTGCATTTATTTTTTCCAGTTATCTTTTTCGCCGCGAACGCCGTTTTGGAGTCACGTGAAGCTGATGGCGCTACTTGCAGCCATCTTTGCCCTGTCCGGGTTCATGTTTGTGGTATCCATTTTCGTCGGTTTCTTCGGTGGACTCAACACCTTCTTCTTCATGTTCTACGAAGTAAGTTATTCCGCAAATATGTATTGTATTTATTTAGCCCGTGAATATGAAATATTGCAGAATTGGGGGAATTGCGAGGAATTATCATGTTTAAAGGAATTTAAAGAATTGTGGAAATTACCAAGGACTACCGAGGAATTGCGTAAGTTGCAAATTAAAAGATAATTAAATATGCAAATTTTGACGAATGGTTTACACTTGGACCGATTCCGAGAAAAACATGTTTTTACTTTTAGGGCTTTAGTTTGATATGTGGCAACAGCGCCCAGTAATTGACGATAACTCAAACATCGTGGAGATTGTGTAGTCCCAGAAGGAATGTATTAAATTAATTATAATCATGTTTGAACTTTTGTTTAATTTATTACATAAAGATGATACAAACAATTCAAGAAAATGTTATACCTTCTTAACACTCTGTTGTGATTGTTTATGTACTTACAACACTTTATTCCTCTTAAAATGTTTACAAACATAATTATAAACTATATTGTGAGTCCGACCCTGGACCCGTCTGCATGGTGCCGTGTTGCCAGTCTAGTACAATTGTACTAGATCTAGTACATTCTCAAATACTCTAGTACACTCTAAGCAAAATCTAGTATCTATTCTTACCCAGCGTGCAGCAGTATGTTTACGTTTGAGTGTAAAATTTTTGTCATCCTTATCCTTTTTCTGTTCGTTCTCTATAAAACTTTTTTTTGCTCTTCAATGAATCGGACCATCGCGTCACTTTAAATATAATTCGACAAATCTGGTACATTTTCATGGAATCTGGTACATTTGTTAGACAAATCTGATACATAATAAAAACATAATCTGGCATCACTATGCCGTACCTACGAGTAGATCCTTTGTTTAGCTCAAGTTTGCCAAAAAGGGGAAAATATCTATGAACAAAACTATACTTATTTTTATTTACAATTTGTTTTGATTTTATGATAATTTTAAAGTTAATTTTTACAGAGATTTATAAGAAATTTGTGCCGCTACTGGTCATAAAAATAGTACCGTGACCAAGGATATTTTAAAACCGCCAAAAAACTGAATTAAGATAGAATTAACATAATTTTTGTGTACAATTACGAAAAAAAACAGATGTTTTTATTCTGTTATGTAGGTACGATTTAATTATTTACGGATATTGCTCAGAGAACCGTGGAAAGTAAATAATTTAACGTTCATAAAAGATATTAATATTTTTAAATCGATATTAAATAAATTCAAAGGTCACATTCAACTTTCCTATTAATATTAATTTAATCCGTAAAACTATACATTGATTCGTTTTAATGCTAAAACAATGGCATATTATTTAATATCGGAATCCAAGGATTTAAAATTTAAAAAATAATTTATTTTATTAGCGTGGAAGATTAGGAAAATCGCATTCTATAAACTATGAACGGTTTTATCGATATTTTTAAATTAATAAATTTAACTGAAAATAAATGAAAAAATCAGGAATCAAGAGTGTTTTTAAACAGTTTTCTTTAAATCTGAAAAGTTCCTGCTAAGTTAACTTAAAAAATTATATTGTAATATTTTTTTTCTGCGACGGGAAAAAGTTTCTTTGTCTTTCTTGACAGATACTAAAAACACTTTTTTGAAATAAGGAAATTTTGTCGAATACTTGCAGATAACATACACATAGGTATTAATAGTCATAACATTTACTTGGGAATACATTAATTGCAGCTACTATTAATTCTGATGGAGTAAAAGAAAACTTAGAATCAGAATCGCTGTTCATTATTGCAATTATTGAAACAGAAGAATAAGTTTCCAGACAAATTAGCAAATCTATTTTTATTAGACAACTAACATGAGAGTTTTTTTTTTTTGTTTTTTTTTTCGATTTATGGCCTAGGTGTATATACCTAATATGCCAGTCTCAAATTTGTGTTTAAATTCTCAATCATGTGTGTTCTGTGTAGGCTTTGTTACTGTTTCCCAGCGCAACTTTAGGAACAGCACTGTTAATTAGAACCCAACAGTGAATGGTCGAGTGGGGAATCCTACCAAGGCATCAGAATTAATTTTAAATAATTAAATTAAATGAAAAAATTCCGGCCAACGGTAGGATTCGAACCTGGGACCCTTGGATCCACAGGCACAGGCTCTAACCACTGAGCCACCCACCCCCTAACATGAGAGTTATTTGATTATTAATGTTTCGTTGCCAACAAATGACACCTCGTTTGAAAAGACATATTGAGTCATATTAAATCCCATTCTTCCCCTCGTATACAACTCATAAAATTTTATATCTCATGGTTGTATTTTAGATTTTAGACCATGCACATTTTTTATGAAGAATATTTTTTTTTTGATAAAACTAATAATAAATAGTTTTCCATATGCTGCCATCTGCCTATTAAGTTAGTGGTATATATGGAGAAGTGTTTTATTATTCATTTTAGGAAAAAGAAGTCAATTGTGATCTTATAATAATTTTTAAGATATTTGAGTTTCAAACGTATTTTTATTAATGTTTTTACTAAGTAATTTTATTTAAAAATATTATTCAAAAATAGGTTTAATTAAGGACATTTTAACGGATTTGTCTCAAATTTATAAGAAGAAATTTGAGACAAATCAGACAAAAAAGAAGCCTTTGCTTGCTCGTAGTGACATGTCATTTGTCAACTTTATACTCCGTAAACATTGCTGATACACAAAAATTGTATACAGAGCATGATTTGTACCGAAATATTATCGTTTTCGAGCTTGTTGGAACAAACCTATAAACAACATCTGACAACATAATCATATGTGTATTGTCAATTGTTATTATCCGTTGTCTATTAAAAAGAAAGGCCAATTACGTCATTGATTCATTTAAAAGAAAAGAAGAAATTTTAAATTTAACATAAAAAGTTGAACCTGTCAATTATTAAGCATAAATATTAATGCTAATGTAGCGACATGCACTACATATCTTTATCAGTTTTATTACGTCATACGAATTAAATTATTGTCATCATTTAGACAACCTTTCGTGGCAGTTCTAGCAAGACAAAAGGTTGAACTCATCGGGAGGGAAACAAGAATTGTTCATTTATAATTATGACTTTTGTTTTTTTGATAACTTATATACATGTCATGACATCGAGTCTTATTATACGAAATTATACTTTTATAAGTACATTTTTATTTATTGATGGGATACAGTTATTACGTAGAGTATTATTATTAACATTTAAAAGATCCCACAGCTAATACCAGAGATAACAAGAGGAGATGTAACTACAAACAAATATCGTGCGGTCCTGAATAAGACATATTCTAAGGGACACAGGCGGGTATAATATACGCCCATTTCATTATTTTCGTTTTGTTTGCAACATTATTTACATATTTTAAAAAAGCTAAAATAATTCAACCTAGTTTCTTGCAACTGAAACCAAAAATTGTTAAAACATTAGCTACATCAATTTTAACTAAATTGTATATAATTTCACTAAATTAGATTAATAATTTTCAATAAATTTCAAAACTTGTTATGTTAAATTGGATATCAAGTATTTTTTAGTAAATGTGGCAACAGCTAGCATTTTGTATGCGTAGCATGTTACGTTGTTTATTATGAGCTTACACAGCCGTTACAAAATATTCATTCATCATTTCATCAAGTTGTTTAGTTGTTAGAATTTACCGAATTTACTTATCATAGACGTCCCAATTACGAAACATATCTTATTATTTTTAAATAATTAGTATTAATAATGTTTTGAATTAATCATGGTTATTCATACCAGCCTTAAAAAATCAGGAGAAGATGCGAAATATTAAAATTGTTCCGGGGAATATTTCTAAAAATCTCAAAGTACTTACTTGTAATTTTTAGCTATTGCATTCAGGTAAAATTTCAACTACTTTGCTGAAACAACACTTAAGGTACCATTTCGGTAGGCGCGACAGACGACCGCCGACGCGACCGAGAAGTGTCTTTTCACGTTTAAAATACATACAATTATATGAAACACATTTCGCACGGCGCGACACGAGAAGTGTCGTCAAGACGACACTTCTTGACGACACCTTGAATCTGTCTCGGGGCAAAGCGTTTGCTGCGTGTCGCACTCGAGGTCACTGTCCTCAGGCATCGCTTGTATTTTGAGGTGATTAGGTTGGAAATTTCTTTCGATCTAGGCAGTGTTGTCAGGTTTTGGAACAGTATGGGGGAAAAAAACCGTAGATCTGAACAGTAGATTTTAATACAGGGGGAAATAATTATAATTTGCAGTATAGTAAATAAAAAACAAGTATACAGGGTGTACCAATAAAAACTCCCAGGCCAGATATTTTGGTAAGTAATAGAGATATTTTAATTTTGTAAAAGCCAGTTCAAAGAGCACCAAGAAAGCTTCAATTTTAGATATAAATTGGTTTTAAATAGTTCAATAATAATTTTTTTTTTTTGATGGGTGGATCGTTCTTATGTAGCGCATCTTGTAAAAAATGCATTTTTAAGCAGATTTTGTTCTATGAACTAATTCGATAAATCTAGCCATTTTTGATATACAGAGTGGTCACTCAAAACAGTTTCATCCTTTTTTTCAGCATTAATCATTGAAATTTAAGAAAATGCCAAAATAGGTCGTTTTTTATTCAAAATTAAAAAGATTTTTACAATACAGACATCTGTCATGTATCAACCCCCTCCCTTGCACTTCTCCAATACCTTAATTTTAACGAGGTAATGTACCATGTATGGCACATCATTGAAAAAGTAATTTAATGGGGGATTCAGAAATATTTCTGTTCATTGCGTTACTTAAATTGTATCGCCCTCTAGTGGGATAAAAAACTACTACGTATTATAGTGTGTGACACTGCTGTAGTACATCATTAAAAAGGTAATTTTATGGGGAATTTAGAAATACGACTGTTTATTGCGATACTTTTAATTGTACCGCCCTCTGTCGGGATAAAAAACTGTACGTATTATAAAGTGACACCTTATTTGAAAGCAAATTTAATTACTAATTCAATGC